TGGGCTGCTTTGGTGGTATTATTGTCGCTGTAGTTGGCACTGAAGTGGCCGTCATGAAACAGTCACCCAAAAGTGACAGAGTCGGTGAAAAAGTGGGCGAAAAGCTCGACGACGAGGTGCAGCTTCCGTTGCAGTTTGTTTTTCCTGCTCCTCGCAGACGGCTTAGTGGCATAAGCATCAGCATTTGGCCGAGAGGATGTGGAATGGTGGCAGTGCATCCGATGTGAGTGCCATGCCGCATTAAAAACAAAACGAAGGCGTTAATCTTTCCAACAAACCTAGTCCGTCTACATAACTTTGCTTGCACTTTGGCCTAACATAATTTATGCACTGCAACTAGACAGAAACTATGCGAAAAGGAGGGCGGTTTTGGGGTGGGGGCGTGGCAGGGCAGCATACGCCTAGCAGCATACGTAATTACACACTTCGGGATAATGCCAGAGCTTTAGTGGCAGCCACTTTGCATCATTGTGAATGTGAAGCACAGGAAATGAAGCAGGAAAGGCAAAAAACAATCAAGAATGCTGAATAAATAAAGCCAGGAAATTGTATACAAGAGCCAACAAGAGGCATTAAATTGCAGTGTCTGCATTTAGGTGTTGAGAAATAAAATCCTTGAAAACGACTGCTAAGATGGATTTGAAATGTAACTAATATTTATTGAAAAGGGTTGTGTTTCAGCAATAAAATTTAAAAAGTATCATTTGTTAATCCCATATAATTAATTGACATTGGAATCCCTTTGCCATTTATAAAGTGTTGATGCCATTATTTAAGTGTTTATAAGAGCATTATTTAGTTAGGTATTTAGACCAAAGTTCTTGTGAAAATATGTTATCTCAATTATTTTATCTCGATGTTTAGCGTTGATTGACTGTTCTTAAAAGAACAGATAGAACAATACCAATTCCTAATCAGCACTTGTACCATAACTAGCAATCGAAACGGTAAAATTTGCCAAGGCCTCAAAACTTTATGGCCATCGTTTTGGGCAGAACAATCAAAATGTTCGACTATAGACATCCAGACCCTTGAGCTTTGTTCGAAGCACTAACGAAACCTCAGAATTCGCTCTCCGATTTTTGCGAATTCCACTCAATATAGCAACGCATGCGTGTCGTAGTACGACAGCTAAACGCCACGAGGAAAAGTGGCGCCAGTGTGCTCGGGAAATCTTAACTTATTGGTTCTCTCAACTCTCAGTTTTTAGAAGTATTCACTCTCTTTGGGGCTCTTTCCTCACCAGCTGATGGCCCGAAGTTATTGCTAACATCGCGCTTCTATCGCCTAAAAGCGTGCTTCGGTTTTTCCTTTCAGGTTTTCCCTTGACTGTTTTTCCCTGTTTCTCGTGAAAATGCCTTGGGTTGAGTTGAGTTTTGGGTTCGGGGTTTGGTGTTTGGGGTCGGGGGAGTTTTGGGTGATTTTTCGGGGCTGGGTGACCGGGAGCAGCGACTCTTTGTTGCTTTTGTTGCCACTCTGCTCCTGCTTCTGCTTTCAATTCAATTTTTCGCCAGCTGTTGTGCTTAATTTGAACTTTAAGCATTTTCCTTGTTGTTGTTTGGGCATTTCCGGCTTTAATGCGGCGGCCGTTTTTCTGCGGCTGGGCGACAGCTCAATGTGAATGGAAAACGGAAAATGGAGAGTGAAGAGTGAAGGAGCGATTTCGCAGCATTGAGGAGTCCTTTGTGGGTCAACCAGTCAGCCTTTTAACCGCTAATGAAGACTTATTTCGCAGCCCGGGCAAGGCAATGCACTTATTTACGGTTAGGCTGGAGTATTTCGTATTTCCCATCCGAAATATGGACCGGTTGACAGTATAAATAATGTGTTCCTTTGCCAAAATTTATGGCACTTGTATGTCTTCTGGTCTTCGGCATCCACTTGGCTGCTATAAATTAGAGCCACCGACCAGTCCGACCTTAAATGCGAAGTGCGTGTGTGTGGCTCCAGGATCTGCGCCCCCATCCACCCCCTGCCACACACACACATTTCCGACACGCAACAAAACACACACATAGATACATTGCTACACTGGTATTGGAAAACAGCGGCTTTTGAGGCTTAAAAGCGTTTTGAGGTGACACATAATGATTAGCCAGCCATTAATTGCTTAGCACTCGAGGCACTGGATTACACTAATTAGGCGGCTTATTAACCTTAGACAGAGACACAGACACACAGTTACAGAACTTCCTTGGGGGCAAACGAATTTATTCCACGGCAATCCTTAAAACTATGTTCTTTCGTAAATTCTGTTGTTATAGAAATTTCCTAGGAAATTGTGCAGCAAAGGCAGCAGGGACGGCGAGGTCCGTGGTGATGATGGGGCGGCCCGTGATGATGCGGCGGTCCATGGTGACCTCCATGATGCGGGGGTCCACCGTGATGCGGTGGTCCACCATGTCCATGACCTCCGTGTCCTCCAGGTCCTCCGTGTGGTGGTGGCATTTTTTTTAAATATTTGCGTTTACTTCGAACAACGTGCGAATGGGTCCAACTCTTATAGGCAACTAAATCCCCATTGACAGTGCAAATCTAATCGAGACTCTCTCCCCTTATAAAGATAAGTCTTATCTAATCTGTTTCGTATGGCTTGCTAATCGATAGACGTGTTTGTTAGTACAAATTTTGGAATAATATTATGGCCATAGCGATGAGTAAGACCTTGTAAATGCTCAAAGAAGAGTTAGTCATTAGGAAAACCCCTCTAAGGTTGCCTCTGAAGATAAGAAAAGCTATGAAACATTTTATTTTAAAGGTAATCTTTTAAGAGGTCCGTCTAGTTTTATGAGTGTTATGCTAAAAACGATAAGATAGACCTTTGTAAGAAATTCTGAGTTTTTAAGAAAGAGTAAACAGAATTTTGTTGTATTTTTACAAAATATTTTAGAGTTTGGTTAAATCCTCTGGAGTGATATAAAGTTTGCTTTCAAAGTTAATCTATTCCAAGGTTCGCCCACTTTTATGAAAGGTTTGTTTGGAAAATCGATAAGATAAAGCTCCCAAAATAATCGAATATTATGCGGAATTTGGGGCTTAGTGGAAAGCCCCAAATCGATCACCACTATTCTGCAGAATTCCAGATAAAGACGCTTTAAATGTTCTTGGAACCTTTGCTTTATTACTTTTCTTCTGAACCCGAAATTGGAATACAATAGTACTTTATTTACTGCCCTTTACAATTCCAACTTTCCACCGTTCTGAATTTGTCAATTTGATTTTGCGATAACCATATAGAGCATGAGCCTTCATGCGAGTGGAACAACTTGATTTTAATTCCTGATTAAGGCACTCGTGGCCATGTAACTATTTACTTGCCTCATGTCATGACCCAGAAAAGTATTGCGAAAATTCGCCAGCCAAGTGCAGGAGGCACTTTGGCAAGAAACGAATGGAGAAACGGAAGGAGCAAGACCAATGGTTTGGCTTTTTGAATTCAATTAATTTTATCTGCATCAGTTTTCCTTTATAATCGCATCAGAGGGCGGCTCACATGCGAAACGGATCGCAACGGAAAGGGCGAAAGGACGTCCTTTCCCGAAAAAGGACCGCAGCTCGTAAAATATATAAAGTCATTGCGAAAGCCAATTTGTATATCAGCGTTGGCGGCTGAGGCCCGGCGATTATCAAACTGCGAAACTTACTTAAAATGCCCTCAAAGGGGGTGGGGCTTTTCTGCGCTGGGTTGGCGACGGGCGATGGGTATTTGAGTTGGCCCCGCTTTCATGGTAACAATTACATTTCACAGATTTTCATTTGGGGTCGCGTGTGCCGTTGCATGTTGCTGGTGCGGTCGCATTCGCGTCCGCTTTTCGCGTCCTTTATTTCGGGCTTAAAGGGGCTTACATTATCGCCGGGTTGGCAAAAGGCAACCGAATTTCCACTCTGCCTTTGGGCTGATGGGCGACGTCTAAATATGAGAATGTTGTGTGAAAATGTTTAAAATCCACGCGAGCCTCTCTTCGAGCGCAAATGCTTAGCACGCCATAAGTGTCAGCCAACCCGCCAGGCGGGCAGGATTGTGGTTTTCCCAGTGTATTTCCCGAGTATATGTATGTGGGTTTTTGTCCTTTTGGCCAAGGAGTGGCCACTTTTGCATACCTCCCCCTGAAAATGGCGTGGCGGGCGCTAAGAAAGGAAGTAAATAGTGGAAAAGGCATAAATAATAGCAAATAATACGGCGACAATGCGCACAAATTTGCCGCTAAAGTGTAGTCATTGTCGGGTCCTTCGTGGCGAAAAAAAATGGGAAAAAAAGAAGGAGTCCTGTGCGTGAGCTTAGCCGCAGGACCTGCCTTTGCTTTTTGCATGATTTCGCTGTTTAAATTTATTACACATTAGATTTATGATCGCGTTGAGTTGGCCCTCTCCATCTCCCTCGTCCAGCACTTATCACTGCCCTTTGTGGTGGCTTTAATTTCATTGTTACAACTTCTATTTGAACTGGGTGTGAAGCATAATTTATAGGTGGCACTGTGTGGTTGGTGTGTGTGCTTGTGTGTGTGCGAGTTTTTAAGTGATTTCTTTCGCTCGGCTGCCACTGGGCATGCACAATTATCGGGTGGCCTGTGCCACTTCTGTCACTCGCCTTGCGGTCGGATTTCCACAGCGGTTTTCCCCCGGCTTTCCCATTTAATCACAGGTTTTGGATAGCCTTGCGTGGCTTTTAAGCGCTTATTAGAAGTGTGACAGAATTCGAAGTTGAAGAGGAAACGGAGACGCCCCCTCACTTGCCACTTCCATTTGCCGCACACGAAGGCCCACTGTAATAATATGGGGCAGCCATTAGTTGTGCCTCGCTATACAAACAGTTGGCTAAATAATGTTGGAAATAGGTGAAAACTTCGATCAAAATAGATGGACAAATTTGATGACTGTTTTAAATATTTTACTAAAATTTAAATGCGGCCTTGGATATCCAAATTACTTATTCCTAAATCAGTTACCTTTGAAATTACGTTTCTTTGTAAAGTACACTTCAGTCATCACATTCTATCGCATTCTCTTCAAGTCACATGTGTTTTAACCTTTGTTAAATTTATAGTAAAATTATCATCACAGTTTTATTAAAACTTTACCACAAATTTTACACATTCCTCATTTTAAGAACGCGTAAACGCAAGCCAAGAATCTATAGTGTAATCCAAGATGACATCGATTGTGGAGATGCCCAAGGCGAATTTGGATGAGGCTCTGCCGCCATGGATGAAGATAGACTGGTCGGACGAAGTGCTCCACGACATTTACCGCGATTGGGGAACCTACTATTCCCGTCGCCGCCGCGAGAACTTCGCCCTGCACTATCTGAACAAGGCACTCGCCCTGGAGCCCACGGATCATATGACCCTGTACAAGCGGTGTCAGAGCAAGAGGAAGGCTGCCCAGATGTTGGGCGCTCTGGCCGACAGCCGAGATGCTGCCAGTGAGTATTTAAACGACTTCGTTTAAGATACACAACACCGTAGAAACATAATAACGACTTTATTAAAAAGGCGTAGGTAATACCTTAATGTTACCTTTACTTTATTTGATGTAATAAAGTTATTCAAAATATAACATTTTGAAGATTTAATATATCTAATATATGAATGGAATCATCACTCGCTGCCAAAACTTTAAAAAGTACTTTACACCTGACAAAATTTAATTAAATTCGGCCGATTATGGGATATTAAATATTAAATTAAATATTTTGGATTTTTTTACGTTTTAATATATTTCTTCTTTCAGAACTGGCCCTTAAGGTCGATGGCGAGGAGAAGGCCATCATTAACTTGGATATTTGTGACGTGCTGTATGAATTAAACCAGTTTGAGAACAGCAAGGCCGAGATGCACAATAACATGCGGATCTTTATTGGCAATAAGAGGAATAGCTTCTTGCAGCGCCAACTTGTGGTGAGAATTTATTTTTAAAAAGTCATAATAATAAAGACAAAATAACCCATTGCCCACATTAATATAACCTTGACAATATTATAGGGCAATAAAATAAGATATTTTGATAATAACTTAGAATATTGTACACAATAAGTTATATTATTCTACTAGGTGGATGGGGTGATCAAAGATGTGACTGGAGAGGCCATGTCGGAGTTCTTCATGAAGAATCTAAAAACGGTCAACATTGTTCACGACTTGATCATGGAGAAGGAAAGGATCGACAATCGACCCCTGTGGAAGATTCTAAAGGAGCAAGGCAAGTGCGATGTGCAGAGTATTCCGGAGGTCCCGGAGGAGATGCTGTCGCCAATGGAGATTGCTCGTCGAAAGCGGGCCTTCAACATCTTCCACCAGTCCTATATCAACGACTCCTGGATCGATGTGCTTTTCATGAAGATGCTCTGCAAGAATCCCAACCTCCTGCTGCCCCAGTGCAAGGAGTCGTCCTACTTCCTTCAGCTGCTCTCTAGCAAGCAATACGAAATAGTTCGTAAGTTTATGGTAAGCTGGGATTAGTGGGGGTTTTCAGCTGTCGATCCTTATCCTGGCTTTTCCCCTCGGCAGAAAATGCTGCAGTCTCGGTGTCCCCTCTACCTGGTCAATTACCTGAAGTACCGCAATAAGGCCATGTCGGACAGATACCGAGAGGCCTACCTGTTTCGCGTACAGTATCAGACACATCGTAACATGAACAAGGCCCTGAAGCAGATCCGAGCACTTCGTAAGGCCAAGAAGGTGCAGGTGAGTATGTATGTATGTGTGTATGTATGTATGTATTTTCCAATATCGTCGGATAAGATTTTTTGTATACCCATTTATGGCAAAGAGGAAGATTCTTAGTTTTGGTTTTTAGTTCGGAACTGGGCTTAAATACCTTTCTCTCAAAAATATTTTTATAAAGAATTTCAAAGGCGACACTTGATCTTTAAGCCCAAGTCGCTATCTTTTAACTTAAAATCAAAATCCCCACTTCAATATCATTACACCAATCCTTAGCAACTGGCCAAATTCGTGGAGGAACTGATGGGCACATACGTGGTGCTTAAGACAGCTCGTGTGATGTGCTGGAAGTTCGAGTTCCTCAACGAGGTCTACAACACGATGGCTTTGGCTCTATCCGAACAACTTCGAGTGCCCAGGGGTTTCTCGGCCCAAGGAAGTAATGGAATTCTAAGGTTACTGCGTTTGCCAGTGGAAAGGATCAAGGACTTTGTTTCACTGACCTTTGGAGATAGACAACCGGAGCCTGAGGGTAACGATCCAGCAACCATAAGGGCCAAGTAGGTGGAAAATACTCGGATAATTAAGTAGTAAAATCTTAAATATCCGTTAATAAACTTTACAGAAAGTTGACTGCACGCCTAGAACATCGAATGAACTTTGCCAAGTATTCAATTGAAAAGTGCTATTTGTTGCATCAGATTTCCCAGTCGTATTTGGACCAAGGACGTCACTCCGAGTGTGCTTTTAACGCTCGCAAGGCAATTAAAGGTAAACCTTCTGAAAATAAATTATATATTAAGTTTTCCAACTCCCCAGAGAGCAAGAACTGCAACAGCAATCTGTGGAAGTTCCTCAGCGTGGTTCAGATAGTCAAGGCCAATGCCATTCTGCACAAGCTGGAACAGACTAAGGAGGCCCTAGATGACGCCCTGCCCATCGCCCACAGCCTCAATTCTCCTGAGTTGGTATTGTTCATAGAGAACTGCATGATGTGCAACACGGAGGACTCGATCAACAAGCGGGCCACCCTAATGCAGTCGCGTCGGGTGAGCAAGTCCGAATCTGTGGCCACCCAGTCATTACTTAGCGGTCAGGAAAATGAAGACGGCTCGCAAGGATATAAATCGGCGTAATTCCCGATCTAATATTTAACATTAACATTTTACTTTCTTTCGTTACTAATGTTTGGCATATGTTTACACTTGGAAAATAAATAATTCACAAATGTGAAAAATATGTATACCTAATAGGTATTACCTATTATTTCCGAATTTTATAAAATACACTACAAATCAGATCAATTATAAAATTTGTTTGTTTTTTTAACAGGCAAACTATTTATTTATTTATGTATATAGAGCGAACTTAAAGTTAAAACTATAAGCTAGCTATGATTTAAGAGCTCTAGCTGCAAAGGACTTCAGCTCGTTGAAAGCAGGCAAACTAACTTCTAAACATTTCCAATAAATGTAAAGTTTTTTTGTATCTTAAGTTAATTTATGTTTGCCCGTGTGAGCAAAAAACCCAAGTGATTTCACTTATTATTGTGCACTTAACATTTCTATTTAAACTAAAGTTTATCCCACGTAAAGTTCGTAATGAATTTGGTATCTTCATGGGCAGCAATAAAAGGCGACGTGTGATTAAAACTTTTATTTTGTCCCACATTTTAAGCAAAGGTTCGCGCACACAAGCACACATACGCATACACACACACACAACCTGGAGAAAGGTGTCGTAAAAATTCTATCAACTCGATTAAATTATAACAAGTGGATTTTCATGTTTTTGTGCCGCATTTATGTGTTTTTATTGTGCTAATTTTATGCCAGTCCTGGCGTGGTGAACACTTCAAGGAGCAGCTCCTTGGGCAATTTCGGCAGAGAGGTGAAACGCACACACAATCGCACGTGTGTGCAGATAGGCACCTGGTGGCACCTGCAATAATACTTGGCACACATTTAGTGGCAGCATTTAGTGGCACACTGCGGTCGCAGGATCCAACGGCGAAGTTCATTCTTGGGACATTTCCACTCTGGCTTTCCCGCTTCCACCGCCACCGTCACTTTTGGCAAAGTTTCCGTCCTTCCATCAGCCACTTGCCACCTTTTTACCAACCACCCACCTGCCCACCTGCCCAACGACAACCCACCTGGTTCGGTGGCCTCGGCTCGGCTTTTGTCTTATCAAAGTTTTTGGCGCGCATGTGTTTATGCCACAAATGGCACTTTTGCGGCAGCGCATTTTATTTTTTACTGCCACTTTTCGCCATTTTGCTTTATCATTTTTATATATATTGTGTATATATATTATATGTTCGTGTGTTTATAGAGAAACAAAGCTGATAGGCTTGGTCCTGACCTCAGTTAAACTGGCTATTGGTATTTTTGGCCAACGTTGCGTATACTCTATTTACCTGTCTCTGTTTCACAGAAGGTCCTTGCCTGCCTTTTTATTATGTCTACATTTGTTGTACAGAAAATTTAATAAAAACAAAAGTAGCTCCGTTTTAAACATTCCCCCGCTAATAAATCTGCGTGAACCCCATTAACCCCTTAGTTATGTTCTGCCAGTCGCTGGAAAGTAACGACTCTATTAGTCGCCTGCTTATATAGAGTAGAGGAATTCAAATTGCCGCCTAGTTCGTTTTTATTATCCTCGAGACGGAGTGGAAGCTCTGGTGAAAGGTATGCAAGCCAACTAATGACCCTGTATTTATATGACAGGGGAAAGTTTATAAATATTTATGGGCTCCGCTGTTGCTTCAGCTTCGAATGCTGCTGTTGTTGTTGCTGCTTGCTTTCATCAAGCTAAAAACTCATTTGCTTATTTTAAAATTCCGAGCAGGCGTAGTTTCATTTTTGACACCCGGCATTCGCCGCCAGTCCCCCCAAAACCGATGTTTCCCCATTCCCACCATTTCCTTTTAGGGATCTGCCGCACGTTGTTGCCATTGTCACGCACACACGTACTATATTTTTTACGCGCATATCATATTACACCCTCCAAACACACAGGGACATTCCCCTGGCTTAAAGGACCCTCTTCCTGCTCCTCCACCCAGAAACCCAACCCCTTTCCCAACAGGGGATGGAGATGCTACTGGGGATCCATCGGGGTTTTGGGGCCCAGTCGAAGTAAATAGAATCACGTACACTAATTATCATCGCCATTGCACGAAGGGCGCTCAAAAATATATATTTTTATTAATTTCAGCAAGGTAACGCCCCTGCGAACGGAACGGAACCCACGAACCATCTCAAATCCCATCCTGTCTGCGGTGTTGGGTAAAATTTTTAATTGAGATCCCCGCTTTATGATAGCAACGAGGAACTATTCGCTCGAAATTGATGCGACTCCTGATGCTGATGGGGCCACTTGGATGGTTGGTTTCGAATGCAAAGTGCGTCGTCGGATATAGTTCTGAGTGCCCAGATAAGGTGGCATATTTAATTAGCTGCCCCATTTGGCATTATGCGACATTAGCGCGTTTCAAGTTTCCCCTGATAGTTTGTGTAATGTGAGTCATTCAATTGATAAAGCTAGAGGGGAATGAGTGCACCGGACTTGGGTGTGATTAAAGTGGAAATTCTACTCAAAATAAATGCAAAATTATAATCCAAATAGAGCGGCATATTTGGTAATGTGATAGCCTTGAAAACTATCAAACCTAAGGTTTAGGTCAGAATTAAATTGATCATATTTACTGCGTTTTAAAGCAATAAATGATAAATGCTATTTTAGATCCTCATGACAATGACGTAGTTGGGTAGACCGCAGTTTAAACACTAGATAAGACAATATAAAAACAAACCAGATAAAAATGATTTGCATTTAATCACATTTTTATAAGTTGTATGCCTTAAGAAATAGCTGTGTTAACTTAAACTACAGTGTTTCCGTACAAAGCTGTAAATAAAATCATGTAATACATAACCCATCGATTTGGTATTTCCTTATCATAAAGCTGGTTGGACAACCAAGGTGAGACCACAACGAATCGCAGGGTACTTCACACAAATCGCTGGCAACTGATAACAGTTCCAGTTACTTTTATCTATAGATAAAGGCACAGATTGGCGAGAGCGCGACTATAATAACACAATCCCTCTGTTGTGACCAGTGCCAAACGAAACGCGTGCGGTGCAACAAGTGGGCTTAAAAATATTATTATTTAATAGACCAAGCTACAAATCAGCATGGACCACAGAACTCGCGTTGTTGAGGTGGTGCAAGTGGCGCCCCAACCCAACACCACGGTGATCGTTCAACCACCTCCGCCGCCGCCGCCTCCGAAGGACAACAGCTGCTGTTGCTGTCCCTGCTGCCCCTGCTGTTGTCAATGTGGCGAATGCTGTTGCTGCTGCACCATCATGTGAAGAGACGAAGCAAACGGAGCCCCCAATCCCCTAATTCGTAACGTTAAATTAACTTTCTATGTCTACGGCGGCCACAAACAATTCACACTGTTTTTTCGTGCAATAAAATTTTACGATTCCTTATAAATAACGCTGTGCAGTCCGCTTTCTCTTTTGGGGGGAACCCGAACCGCTGGTAAAACATATTGTCTTACATAAATCTCAATGCCAAAAGACCACATAATAATAAAAAGCCAAATTTAATAACGTGCCACAACAATTTGTAGTTTTATGGCGGCCAAGCGGGCAGAATCCTTTTTGGCTGTTGGAAATGCTCACCACATCATTTCAAAGTTAGTTCACATTCCGAGTTATTATTTATATGTTTCTCAATTTGCCAATAAAAGCGGAAAATGTGTCAAGAGTGCTGCCAACTCCGGTTCCATGGGCCTGCTGCTCTCATTTGATAAAGGATTTTATGACTCTTGGCGCTTGAATTGCAACCGCAGCGACAGAGTTCCCGCCCCAAATATTTTGACGAGGGTCCCCAACTGGGACATTATATATATGTGGGCGGGAGTTTCGACTGCGAGTGTTGGCCTGCTCATTTAACATAACTTTTTGGCTCGCTCTCTTTCTTTGCCAAACGTTTATCTAAAGCCCAAACAATATTACTCATACGCAACGTGATATTCCAGCCGGAAAACCGTGGTGCAGATATCTAAGTGAAGTGGATAGTGGTTCTGACTTTGTAATTTGTTAATGATTAAAACCAGTAAATAAAATGTATGAGCCGGAAAAATACAAACTTAAGCCCAAATTGGGATTCGCTTTAAACCTGTTTCCAGTTTCGCCCATGTGGAAAGCTCCTAATGTTATTGACAAACAACTTATCATAACATGTTTAAATATTTAAAAAGGAAATACCAGTATTTAACGGAGGCTTACTCTTTCTAAAGCAGGATAGAAATAAATGGGAAGAAAACTCTAACAAATAATGTATAAGTTTCGTTGATCTTAAGATCTAGAAATAAATACTTCATTTTGGATGAACTAAGTACTGTATTATAACACCTTCTTATGATTTTCTTCTATTACTTATACTTGATTTTTTGCAATATTCAAAAATAATTGGGTGTGCTTAGAAAATGACTGTTAATTTTAAGAATTGCCCCACTGTAGCTGGTTGTTTCAATGTTATTTGCGTGTACACAAATTCGTAATCAGGGCAGGGCATTGATCAAATGCCTACCGGCTTTAGATAATAATGAGTAAGATATTTCCACCAAAACGCCAGCCGTTTGCGTTCGATGTTTCAGTTAAAGGCGCGTTACCGAGCGGCGTTCACTTAGTCGAGCAGTTTAGGCCAGTTACTGTTAACTATTAACTAGTTACTAGCCAGCATTTTCACCCAACGAAGATCAGTACAACAAAGGAATAAGGATGTACAACCCAGGCTATCAGGTGGATGTGATCGACCCTTACTATCAGCCCCCTGTGGAGGTGATAAATGTGATGGGACCTCCTCCGCCCGTCGAGGTGATAATGCCGTCGCCCATGTACAATCAACCGGTGGTGGTGGTGGAGCAGCCCAGCTACAATCAGCCAGGACCTCCGCAGTCAGGACCCAGTGACGCCGAGTGCTGCATGCTGCTGGGAGCCTGTTGTGTGATGGAGGAGTGCGGCCTGTGTGTCATTTCGTAAAATTGTGCAGTTGTCAAATACTTGATATAAATAAGGAACTATGTAAATTTACGCTAAATATAGACTGAAACTAAGGGTGACTAAGCGGTGTTATGATTCAAACTTTTCGTTCGATAGGTGATCTATAATGTGAAAACAAAGAACCATTTAATTGTGAATTTCATAATTCCAAAAAATATATAATATATATTATTTTACATTTAAATACTTGGTTACAAAAACACCATTCTGATATCATAAGAATAGATAGTTCGTGAATTTTCGATAAATCACAAAGAGCATAAAATCCATTATCTACTGATAACGACCCTTTGATATTATAAGTTACCGAAATTGCGCCCAATTTGAGCGCTTTTTCTAATGACTATGGTTGGTGAAATGTTTTTCGAAAGTATCTTCCCCGCTAAACTCCACTATAAATATCAATTACCATAGATTTTCTCTTTAACCAAGAAGGACTGGGATCTACAGGCTTTTAGCAAGTTGGGTATCTTTCATGTTTACCACATTTTTTTTCGCCAACTGTCAAATGAAATTCACTGTCTGCGTATGGACACATTCATCCCCCTCTTCAGGGGGCCACGCCCAATCCCATTTTCTTGGGTTTCCTTTTAATAAATATAAAGCGTTAATTTGCTGCATAATTGCGCCCTGCCACACCCAGGACTCGAAACGCAGGAGACAGGACTCAGAAAGGACCGAAGGACCCTTCCCTGAACGTCCCAGTTAAGTAGCACAGCCTCGTACTCCATCAGCTCAACTCATCAGAACCCGGGCTGAAACACAGAAACGTTGTCTATCCCCCAACGGAGCTCCCTTTTTCATGTCTTCAATGACAGTTATTTCATTTTTCTTGTTGATGTCTTTCCCTGCACTCATTAAATCAAGTTAAAAAGGCATATAGCACGCAGTTGCTGCCGATGTTGCTTGTTGCCATCGCCGTTTCCGTTGTAAGCCAAGCTGTTGAGTTGTTCTGGCCCTAACACTCTGTTGTTCTTGTGGCTGTCTTGCCGCAGTAAAAAACAAACAACAAACGACGACGACAAACAGCAAACAGCCAGCGACGTATTTTCAAATAACATCTCGAAGAACTCCAGAAAGGAAACAATAAAGCCGAAGCGACGAAAGCGAAACTCCTCGGTGTCGTTTGAGACTCGTCTTTAATTATAATAACTTGGTAGCGGCATCGTCGTGCTTCGACATCCCGGCTGACTTTAATGGCTCTACCGCAAATGGGAAAACCGAACAACACCTGACAAACAGCTACTTTCAGTGTCCTGAATGGAGTTACGGCTCACATTCACCTCTAATATTGCTAAATGGTTCAAAAAATAGCTGCAGCTACTAAAAGTAATTTGTTGTCTGGAAAGATGGCTTTTTTGAAATGTTTCCCTAGGGAAATGGTTGAGTCGCCTGCCAGATATGAACTCTTTTGTAAACTTACATGGTTGAGGTTGGAAAAAAGTAAATGGGGTTTTTTTTTAGAGTGTACTTCCTGTTTTTATTTTTTCATAAAAATATCTAGAAAAATGGTGAAGATTCATGGAACCTAAGGGAAATTGGAGTTTCCAATACATTAATGTCTTTTTTTTAATTTAGGAAGATTATTAAGGGAGTTATTCAATTATTCCGGCGCTTAAATATTGTTGCACACTTTTTACACCTCAGTCCTTTTCAGAACAACTTTGAAAAGTAATAAAATCGAAATAAATGATTTTTCAATACCTATTTTGATTGATTACCACCGAACGATATAATATAGATTCGCCCGACTTTTCAAAGCCTCTTAGAGTCAACCCTCGAGAAGTGCAGCTAAAAAAACTTGTAATCATGGAGTACAACTGGCAAACTAATGCATATTTCGTGTTTGCCAGGCAATGAGGGCAAACCCATCTAGTTGGCCAGTCACCCACCCACCGGAATTACATCCACCCACGGCGCCAGTTTCCCATACCAACCCTCCGAAACGGGGGTGTATTTATATAGTATATCTTCTACTTATAGTTGAGCTTGTTGCATTTCTTGCAAGTAATTTTGTTATGAGTTTTTACTGTTTTGGGGGAGGTAATCCTTATAAATGAAGCAGCAAATTTGATGCTGCGTGCAACGTGCCCTCGAAGGATCGCCTTCTAGTTGATTCCCCTCTATTTACCACAGTTAGTTGACTTAATGCATTGGGCTTCTCTTCTCGTCTCGTGCTAATACACGTTAATATCCTCTGAGCTATGAAATTTCGCTCATTTGTCAGGATTTAGGGCAAGAAGGCCAGAAAGGACACGGCGGTGGACACGGGAAATTGCAATTGTATTTCATTGTGTTTTTGTTGCCTTTGTTGGCTTTTGGCAATGATGATTTATTGGGGAGGCACGTGAGACCACATCCGGGGGGAGGAGGAGCATTCGGTGGGCGGTTTGTTGCTCTCTGCCTCATTAATTTTTGCCTAACTGGCTCATTAAAAATTAATCCGTCATGGGACCGCGTATCGATGGAATTGTGTGAGTCCATCTTCTAAGCGTCAGATCGGCTTAAAAAGCCAAGGAATAGGGGAACATGATTTCTATTAAGACCTCTTTTCAAATCAATCTGAAAGTGATGGAGGGATTCTCATGTAACCCAAAGGATTTGTGTTTCGGACGGGAATTAACACATATGGTTCCTAATTAGTCTTTTTTAATTACTCAAAATCTGCAGATTAGTAAAACATAAGAAGAAAATACACAATAAAACCAAGAAGAGTTCAGGGGTAAATTCAAAGAGCTTTATTTATATGTTTTCCTAAAGATTTTATTGACGGTACCGAAAAAATCACTTTTAAAGGTGTTCAAAAGTATGCAGTGAAAAAGATCAGAGAATTTCAGAATAAATCCTTCAAATTACAAGCCATTTCTTGCCTTTTTAAATGATTTCTTGCGTACCATTTTTTAATTAATTAAACTTCAATTAAGCGAATTATTTAGCTTTTTTTTTGAAGAAAATATCATAACTGAATATCATATTTTTCTGAATGCACTTGACATTTTTATTATAATAAAAAACGCTTCCACGTCGGCAAATAAGCCATTATGCATTTGTGAAATGCAAACAGAAGGTCAGAGAACGCACCTTTCACGTCTTGTGGCACCAAAAAAATGTCATTTCATCTAAAGCGAACATTTTGTAAAATGGAAAACACCTGAATGTCGGAATTTAGCCACGCATTAAGACACTCAACCCAGTTGCATTTTAACTGTTTGTTTGCCGGGTCCTTTGTGCAGGATGGGTGGTATTGGATGGCGGTGGGGATGGTCTTGGGAAGTGGGTGGCTGCGGGGTGGGCACTGACCCGTCAAGTACCGTTCGACTCTTCACTGCCATCCATCTCGCTCCCACCCGTTCGCTTTGCATTGTGTCAAGTGCAAAATGTGCAATGCAGGAGACAAAGCAACCGCATGCTGCAGCCTCTACCCCTCTCGCTCTCTCGCTCCCTGCACTCTGGAATAACGGCACTCGCATTGTGTCAGGCGAAATAACGGTGAAGGAGCGAGGGAAAAGCACAACACGAACAATAACTTCTGTGTGACACATTTGGCAATGCGTTTTTAAACTGGCGAAAACAAAACGAATGTGGCAGCCGCAAAACAGAATAGAACACAGTGGAAAAGTCAGCGGCAAGTGGGAAAAAGTTTTTAGCATTTCCTTTTTTCTCGCTTTTTATTCTTTTTTTGAGGTTTTCTTGTCCTCGGCACTGAATTGCACTTAAAGTCAGCGCCAGTTAAAAACTTTTTGTAAAAACTAAAATAAGAAGAGGAAGCTGCAGAAAACTATTGCATAGAGTGCGAAAGAAACAATTGAAAAGTTTATTGCTTTTGCCTTTGCCTTTTTCACTTTTTCACTTTTTGTGTTCGCAAGTATGTTGCGTCACACGGAAAAGTCGTTGACAAAAACCAGAATGTGATCAGCTGTTTTAGGCGAAAGGGAGAGATGGCCAGCAAGGACGTAAGGAGGGGAACTAACTGGGGAAAGTTTGGGTGCTTTTTATTAATTTTATAACTGTGCTGCGGAAACGGAAGACGAGGCGAAAGGACCTGGGGCCGAGCAGGGTTACAGGATGCAAGAGCAAGGGGCGGGCAGGAAAACTCTCAGCATCTGCGGTCAACTGGGAGCCTGCCCACTAATTGGCCTTGTGAAAATATTTGCTACGCTTATGAAAACAGTTGACCGCCGCCAGCCCACGACCCTTGAAACTGAAATGTCACAAAGGACGAGGTCCCCAAAACACTTACACCCACACATGTACATGAATGAAGAAGGCTCACATACACCACCATAAACTAAGGGTTTATGCAGCGCAAATTGGTGAATAAGAATCTATAAAAGTGACTCCTGCCATATCATGGTAAAAAGCACGATTTACAAAATTAACTTTTTTGTTTAATTTCTTCTTTTTATTTTTAAAAAATGTTTTTAAATTATAGAAGAAAATCAGAAAGGTGTTGGAACTTTCAAGACCTGCATATTTTCTTTAGCATACTTTTTCGATCATTTTAGATAATTTCCCAAAAATTTATTTAAGTCTCTTTGAGTAATATTCTCTTTAAGAAACTTGATCAATTTAGATAAGAATAGTTATCTGATCTCTGCAAGATACTTAAAAGTAGTATTATAAATATTAAAGATTGAAAGTTTTTAGTGGCGAGATCAATAAATTCAATTATATTTTTTAGCCGTGTAATTCGGCCCAAAATCCCCTTAAGCCAAAATGAATGTCCTTTAATAATTCGAGCTACGCATGAACATAATTAGAGACACAGCCATTTGGTCACTGGCAAACACACACACACGAGTAGCAGCTCATGGGTAAGCCAGTCCAATCACAGACACATGCCGGGCCAGCCGCAGGACCCTGCCACGCCCCCATCCCCCCGCCCACAGACCCACTCCAGTCCCAACCCGTCGGCCTCTCACCGCAATTTTTGTCAACTGAACTAATTAATTAATTGTGGGCGGCCAGCGTGGCCTTCCAGCCGAGACCGTAGCGAAACGAAAAGGACCACCCAACCACCCACTTGCTAACTGACCGGCAACTAATTTTTATATTTATG